CCCCCCCCCCCCCTTCAGCAATGGCATGACTGCACTGTAGGAGTGTTACATTTTTAGTGGGCACATGTGGAACAAGATCGCAGGTTTCTAATGAAAGAGAGATAAAAGGTTTCACTAATCATCTTTTCTCTTGACAGCAGTAGGTGTAGCCCCTTCAAATTTGCTCACAGTGAACGCCTGCTAACATTGTGATTTCTTCTAGAGAACCATACATGTCATCATGCAGCGATAAGACGTCAGTCATCTTTAATGATCGTCTCTTCTGTTTATCTGGTCTTTTGGTCCTTTTTTTGCCTTTTCCAGATATAGTCAAAGGGAAATGAAATGCATGCTGTCAATCTGAAGAAAGTTGGCAGATGTGCCTGTTGTGAATTATTAAATCATGGTAAGTGTGACGGGCATGGTTTATTGGATTGAGCATATTTGTTGCTCACTCTGTTGGCATATTTTTGTAGCAGTTTATAGCTCCTAGTGTATTTATTAATTATAAGGCTTCAGTGCATGTGTTGTTGTTTTTATTTTAGACATATTGCAGGACTGAATAGAGACTGGTACAATGTGGTTTCCACGTGAAAAATGGTTGTTCTGTAAATTAATTTAGGTGATGGATCACTTGTCTGTCGGATTATGCATGCCTGTATTGATTACCGTACCTTGCATTGCACACCAGTCAATAAATGTGTAGATTTTCAGTTGCAGATAAATCAAGGGTCAACAAAAGACTTATATGTTTTAGTAATGACAAGAAATCAGTAATCATATGGTCTCGGTAGTCATGAGAAGATGTGGCAGGATAGAAAAAGCCCAAACAAAATACTGTAGGACGAAGGTTATATTAGCTGGGGCTGTGGCATTTTTGTCAGGCTTGTTATGTGGGCTTAGCCAAGACTGACACTGTATCTGTGCAGCTTGAACTCCTGTCCCTGGCCTCTCCCACTTCTCAGTACCGTCCCCAAGTTACGACTCCGGGGGGCGTGGATGGTGGCATCACGTTTTCACTGCACTGGCAGTGAATGCATGGCCTGTAACTCGTGTTAAAGTGAGGCCAGGTCAGACTCTCATGCTCAACTGCTTTGTCAAAATGAGAAGAGAGAGTTGGTGGAGGGAATGGCATCAGGCCCAAATGTGTTCCCAACCCTGACCTAAAGTGTAGGACATGACCTTGCAGCCCATCGATCTTGCCTGCATGTTGCTTCTGCTGTTGTTGAGATTGGTAAGCAGTCACACATGATGTTGACACTAGGGCATCAAACTAATAGAGCATTTGAAAAGGTCGTCTTGAGCTCGGCTTCTCTGCTCTATGCTCACAGTTTGAAATTCAAATCAGATTTCAGTTGAATTAAACCACCTTTCCCCTCAGGCTTCTATTTAAGTCCAGGAGACCAAAAGGTCATAGCTCCAAGAATAGGGCTGTCAGTTAGCAACAGCCTGTTTGCTGGATTCCTTTGATGGAGGTTGCTTCTTCCACTGCTTTACTATACGTGCCTGCTCCTGATGGCATCTCGTTTAATTATCTCCTTGGCACACTAGCTGGTCCACTCAGATAAGCTTCAGTATTATATTACAGGGAGCATGTGTCTCATCGACTGCAGCCACTGTTGCGTTTAGTCCAATTACTGTGGTGTTGACTTTCAACCCCCAACCATGATCATATTTTTTACTATTCATGCGTACCTGCACTTGCTCAGAATGCTTTTAGTGTTCATCAGATCAGTGTCTAATAGCCAGTAATAACAGATGTAAAACAGAATACAGAAGCTGTATCCTGCAGCCTTAATTATTTCATTTCTCAGTGTAAGAATATGCCAGATTAAATAATTTGTTGACTTGCCATATTCTAGTCATGGAACAAGGAACAAAGCATTATAGATAAAAACCACAGCATCCCAGTTATGTCTGACAGTTCAGCCTTGGACATATATTGTCACAGACAAAGTTACATAATGAATATTTCATGGGCAGTTGAACAGACCCACGTGAGAGCCCCTTTTTCTGGGACCAAAGGCTATTGCAAAGTCCTGACCAGGGAGCATTCAGCTTCCCGCCTCCTTTCTTCGGACAGAATAAACTATATTAAATCACACTGCAGGGCAACAGACGGACAAAGAGGAGCACAAAAACATGCAGTACCCTTTTTGAAGGGAGCTGCTGTAAACACAACAGATTTCAATGCCTTGCTCTCTCACGCTGCTGTAGCACTCTGAATATTCCTCCTCATAGCTTCTCTTCATATCCCTCCCACCACATTCCCTCCCTCTCTCTCTCCTCCCATCTCTTGCCTGTGTGCACTGTGCCGCTTTACGCTGAGCACAAGGCATACAGATGTAAGTTTAATCCAGGCAGCAGTCAGAGCTGGGAAGTGAATATGAGGTTGCCCTTTTGCTAATATGCAGTAGTATTCAGTAGAATTATTCAGAAGCCAGCGCAACTGTCAAGGTGGATTCAGAAGGGAAGATGAAAACCTCCTGGAACCGTGCGTTCGTGTTTTACTCTCTCCATCTCTTTGTGTGGATCTATGCGTTTCCACTATTAAAGCTTGGCAGCGAGAGGTGTTATCTCTAGCACTGAGCCCAGCTTTGAAAGGAAATTTCAAGACTCTAAATCTGCCTGTCAGCCTCTGATGAGCCTCTGATTAAATGATAAAGCAAGGAAAGGAGGACACCCAGGTGAATCAAGGAAAAACTTGTAGAAGAAAATTCATACAAGCTCTGCTTTTTTTGGACTCTGGTTTTTAAAAGATTTAGATTTTTCTTTTATTCATATCTTTGTACTGGACTTGTATTTTATCTGCAGTGATTGCACATTTTCTCACACCAGCTGAGGCAGAGATGCGGTAATGTTGTGCTTGGATTTGGACTTCCTTTGAGAGGATTTTGTTTTCACCTGATCAGCAGTCCTTCACTCTTTGAATGCATTCTGATTTGCTCTCCCACCTTTCTGCCCCTCTTTATTTTTTTTACTGAACATTGTGAGCTGGTCAGTCACCTCAGCGACTGGGCAGTGAGTTCTAACAGAGGCACAGTGGGTGTGAGGTTGGATTCGGAGTAGTTGCGTTCGACAGACTGAATTGTCTTGCGCTCTGCAGAGGATCTTCAGACTTCTGACCTCCGGTTTATTTAGCCAGAGGAGAGTTTAATTAAAGCCAGCCAAAAGCCAGGATGCAGGTGTCATTAGTGTGCACGGACCATCGTGGGGGGGTGAGCCGCAACACGGAGGACCGGCTAAACCGACAGAATGCCAACAGCCCCAACACAGGCACCCGCAGCAAGTTCAGAGCAGTGGCAATGGTGGCCCGCAGTCTGGGACAGCTCTCTGTTCAGAGTGTGCCTTCCTCCAGCGAGCAAAGCATGAAGACTGGCATGAAGTATAGGTAGGGCATGTCTGATGTGTTACCTGCTAGTTATAAATTTGGCCCAAAAAAACTTTCAGACCTATATAAAATATGTGAGCTGTTAAAACTGCAGGGTTTGTCTCCCTTCCTTGGCTCAGGCTGCAATACATCACGGAGAAGACAGACCATTTTTCCACTTTGCTATTATATGCCAGTTTGTCTTCCCTACTCATATCAGAAGTCCCAAAGCCCACTTGTTTAAGATTAATGACGGCTAACAATTAAATTGGAAACAAATTACAGGAACTAATCAGTTAACTTCCCTAAACGTTTATTTACCTTTTACTTTTTATGATATGGGACCTCAAAAACAGCAACTTCTCCAAAGGAAAAATTTGCAATTTGTAATTTTATCTGATCTTTTTACGGAATTGGTAAAACTATGAGGTTGGCATGTAATAAATTAAGTTAGCGGCCATTGATGTCGTATCTGCATTTGTTCAGCTTTAAAGTGGAAACTAATTAGTTGGTTCCCAGAATATTCTCCTAAATGTAAAAAAAAGTTTACCTGTTTCGAATTTTTTTTCTAACGTGGGTTAGAGGCAGGCATATTTATTATTATAACGGCAGGTCCTTTTGCAAAAATATTCCAATTAGATATATTTCTAATCATTGAATCAAAAGCTATATAAAGTCAGTTAACACTTTTTTGCCATATTAGAGAGTGTCCCTGAAATGCCGTGATATCAAACACTTTGCATAATGATGAGCTTTTGCCTACAACATTGTATGTTGACATGATGCTGCACTGAATATTTATGCCATCCCTTCAATCAGTTGATTACTGATTACGGGTCTATTGTAGTATTTACAGTTCTGTTGCTTTCATGCTGACATCGTGGATGAAAGCGGTAGTATTTTGTTTGAGGGAAATGTTTTCGCCTTGGGACTAGAAACCCCAAGGGACAAAAAGATTAATGATGACTGTGTTTTATCTACCATACCCCATATTTAACAATTAGCTAAAGGTTTTACTTTCAAAAAAGCATTTATAACAAAATGGAAATGTCTACTGTTTGTGTGGTGAATTATTCAAATTATCCCAGCTTTTACACAAGAGCTGAAAATGCAGCAGATTATAAAGTGGGATATCTTTAAATGCATATTGAAGCACTGATGGTAGAGGAGTGAATGGCAAATTGAACAGCAGAAAACACAAAATCTGTAGGCAGTGTTGGTGAGAAAATGACTTCATCGTTGTAAGGTACAGTATATTATGATATGCAACAAGCTGGTCATTAGTGCGGTGTATCTGTTTTGTATTGCAGACTTCTTTCAGCCTGTCAAGAGTTATATTGCAGTGATGACCTGCTCTCTGCATGTTTTCACACCTGTCACTCAACTGTTCACCAAAGACAATTGTTGGACATGAAATACTGATTTAAAATTAAGTTTTCACCAAAAACTCTCTAGATAGGGGTGTTCACGAGTTTCACTGTAGTTGCTTATATTTTCTGCTCTTTTACCAAACAGGAGTATCAGTTATCATCATTACTATGTAGTGTTCTTTATGGACTTGTCATTCATGTGGTACATTACTTCATTTCTGATAGAACCGTTCATTTTTATCATTAGATTTTATCTGTTCAAATAATGTTTTTCGAGCCACAAAACTGCAAGATGAGGTTGGTTGTGCCTTAAATCAGAATCTATTATTTATTTATTTTTGGATGAAAAATTTGTTGTGTGTCGACTGTCGACAGACACAATTAAGATTGGGCATTGATTTGAGGAAGCGCATTACCTATCCTTAGCACTGTTGTCTGAAGGAACATCACAATGCTTTGCAGCTGATTTGCTAACGGCAGCCTCGCCATGTTGGCACACTGTCATTATTGAGGCTAATGATATTGAATGAGTAAAATCATTTTCAGCTTGGACGGCCAGCGGCTGTTTGTGTTCTTAGCTTCCTCAGTGTAGTCCAAAGCACATAACGGGCTCTGTGTTTGTATGTCTGATGTAAGCTGAAGGTAATGCAGGCCTAAATGCAGCGTGAGGCTCAGAGATGCATGCACCAAGGGTACAACATTGTGTTTTGTGGTTTTGAAAAGCTGCGGATAAAAGGGAAGGAAGGAGAGAGTGAAAATAAGAAAGGCAGAGTGCTAAGGTTAATGCTGGTGTAGGCACTATGCCCAAGAGGTACAGTAGGCTGGAGTGATATGTGCTCATGTCACTGTGTATCTTTCAAATGTGCCTCTCTTGCAAGCACTTTAACATGGCCATGCAGTTCTCTTTCATCTTTGAGCACAGTCTTCTTTTTTTTTCTTTTTTTTTTAAGTTCTTTTAAGTTTTGAGTTTTTCATTTTGCCACTTTGACAGCTGAAGGTTAGTGGTTTTATAACCGTTCCCCAAAAGAATACAGTCAGAGCTTATCTATCCAACAAAACTTTCCACGATTATCCACACTGCAGAATAGGAGTGTGAAATTCAGATCAGCCTCGTTTGCATACAGTCCTCTCTCTTTCCTTGAATGGCAGCCTTGAGCTTGAATTGAGACTGTAAGTCAACATCTGTAGGCAAGGATGCAGGTTAGGTTTGGAAGTGACCTCCCCTACAAGGCCAAGGAAACCTTTAAAATGAACATCTTTTCAAGGGATTGCGGCAGCTTTAGTGGGCAGCCTCACCACAGAGAGTCGTTCTGTAATGTGACACTGGGCCTGCATGACATGACTGGTTAAAATCATAAAGCTTGACTGTGAGAGCCTGCACCTCCTCCAAGGAATCATTAAATTGCTTCAGTCAGGACTGAATTAATGATGCACACAAAATGGCTTATGATTATGTAAAGCAGTCTTGCTCAGGGAATGGAAGAATATCTGGGAGATTGGGAAGGCAGTTCAGGTGGGGAGTCAATCCCATAAAGCCCCTGCTTTTCACAGTCCGGTTATCAGCTCTTCTCTCAGGCAACCAAACCTAGGAAGGGTCTTGAGGGAATGACTTACTTTTACAAGAGCCAGTTTTATTTGCTTAGGCGTAGCGAATAAACTGCTGCAAAGTATTGCTGAGGTGAATAAGTTGGAATACGTATCACTTTTCATTTGGACTGCCATTTTTTGTGCTTTGTGGGGACTAAATATAAGGGCTCACTATAAACTGCTGTGGATAACATTTGTGCTTCAGGAGGAGATTTTTTTTTTTTTTTTGTCAAAGAATATTGTATTTTGCCACAGTTTGTATCCGCTCCAAAACATTTCTGCTGTGTTGCACTCAGTATCTTTTACTGCAGTGGCCATGTAAATCAGAGCTGACTCACCTCCCACCCTGGTGTAAATCTACAAGTAAACGCGCCCCAGCTCAGGCTGTCAGTAGGATTCCTCACGTCTCTAGAGGTCCACTTTTGGTTGTAAAGTTGACAGTGAGTCACAGCCACAGTAAATAGCTACTGGCAGTGTTGTGTAAGTGGATGACATTTAAATCCCACCACTGTGTTGTGTGAAGTTGTGATGTATCATTATCAAAGACAGAGATAAGATGCTACTTAAAGAAGCCCGTCCTACCAATTCTGTTTTCATTTAGCTCCCCTAGAAGTTACTTGATGTGACAGATGGCAGAATTTATAAAGACAGATAACGGAGATGATTTACAAATGAAACTTGCAACATGTACTCATCAGCATTCAGGTTTAATGTTTCTTTATTGTATTATTTGCTATTTGTAATTGTAGAAAGAAAATCGATTTGGTGAAAAAAAAACAGTGGGAACCGTTTTCATCCTCTGGAATTATTTAAAAAGGATGAAACTGAACACCGTGTTTTCCAGTATTTTGTTACACATTAAGCAAAAGCATGCATCGCTCAGGCTTGGGTGACAAAAGCTGTGGGTGTGAGATTTGGGGCGTCGTGAGTGTGGGTGCACGCTGGGACGTTTTCCTACATTCTGAGGGCTCTTCATCAGGGAGCCAGCTTTCCGCAGCCTGCACTCCCCCTTGAAATATGAATCATAAATAGGCCGTGGTAGTTGAACAAAGCACACACACAGCAGTACACACTGGCCACTCTGATGTAAATAGTAAGACTCATCCACAGCACAGATTTCAGGCCTCAGCAGCCACTTAGGTACCATCTTAAATGTGCACAGAACATTCGCCATCTGTTTGCTCTGGGCATGTGTAGGGAAATTGCCAATTGTGGGATGGTTCATTTATTGATGCAGGCTTGTGTTTCACTGTATGCACTGAGGGTTTTGTCTGTGTTGGTGTATAAGAAAGCAAGTAAGATGGAGGGGGGTTGTTGTGGAATATTTTGCCTATGTGTCTATAAGCGTGTCTGTATGTGAGAGACACACTTGTGTTATGTTGAAGGAGAAAATGAAGACAGCTGTTCTTTCTTTGCCTCACTGATAGAGTTTAATTAGAGCCTCTGTGTCTGTGTGTAGGTGTGTGTGTGTGTGTGTTAGCACCACTCATTTCTCTCTGCATGTTATTTTCTTAAATGCTCTAGAAATAGCCTAGATTTATTAATTCTGTCGTACACTGCCAAGAAGAGGCGAGTCATTTATTCACTCCATATCTGAATTGTAGTCAGTCAGTTTATACTGTTTCTTAATGTATGTGTGCAGGAATTTAATTTAAGTGTTTGCATTGCTGGGTTACACTTACACATGATTATTGGGCTCAGTATAGAATTCAGTCGAGTCTATAAACACAGGAATATGTCTTCAAATGCTCTGTGTGAGGTTATTAAAATATGCCACACTGGACATACAGTAAGCGGAAGGGTTTAGATTTATAAAGGAGTGCTGAATCAACAGACTTGCTTTGATAGCAACATTCGTGCTTCTTTCTGCATGAGAAGCATTTGAACTGCATGTTATGTAATGTGTAAGGCAGTGATTGAGGACAAATTGTATCACAAATAGAAGGGAGGCTATGCTGTAGCAGGAGGCCAGAGATATGGCTTACTTAAAGTACTAGAGAACAGGCAGGGAGGGAAAGAGCCCATCTACCCCACAGCATCATGCTTGGTCATCTGTATTATGAA